ATTTCCTATATTGAACTCACTATTCTAAACAGGACTGCAAAATGTAAAAAAGCTGTTTTGCTCTGCTGCAGACATGAGTGATGAACTGCTGGAGGTTGTTGGTCTGGAGAGTGTGCTGGAGATGGGTCAGATTTACACCGGACTGAAGAGTAAAGCCCATCGACTGGCTCAGGCGGCTCACATCACTGTCAGGTGAAGCTGTTTTACAGTATTCCACCATTCCAATCAAGCAGATTTATGAAAAAAGCATTATATGTGGATTTACATGTCATCTTCTGCTGCAGGACTTGTAAAACTCTCCCCATGCAGGTTGACGGAGAGCCGTGGATGCAGCCTCCGTGTACAGTAAGTGTGTTTATACACAACATAAAAACACATGAGCAGATTCTAGAGTGTATGGCAGGCCCTTATCACATTTAATCTATATAATTAACCTGATTTGCATGCTACTAGTGCACATTTTTATAGATTCTAGTATCTGTTCCATTAAATATTAGTACTAATTCGTTAGCTACAAGCACTTATTGTGCAACATTAGTTCTTAGTGATTGAAAACTAGATACTAGATTAGATACTAGTACCTATTAAATAAACACTATTACTTATTCATGAGATGCCTACACCTATTAAATGGATATTAGTTAATATTAGAGTCTTTGGCTGTCGAAAATCTTTCGTTTTCAGCCAAAAATACATGGTAAAAAAGTATATTAGGAGTTAATTTGGATTTTGGGGGGGAATACTCCTTTAAATGGTGCAGATAATGGAAAACAGGTGAAGCGTTAATCAGTGCAATGGGTTGTGGGAAATGAAGTCCTGGGCTGTATCTGAATTCGCCCCCTATACCTTTAAATAGTGCACTGTCAATTCCACAATGCATTGCAATAACAACCCTTGTACACCTGCCAGCAATTAAATACCCATAATGCAGGGGTTCTCAAAGGGGTCGCGGGACAATGAAGGGGGGTCGCCTGGTGATTTAAAAAAATCTATTTATTATTGTTAAATCACATAAGAATGACCATATTTTATCCATAACCTACTTAAGAGAAAAATATAGTCATTTATAATTACTATATAGTTACTATAGTAGCTTATAGTTACTAGTTCTATTGGATTGCGACCCCAGTGGTAATTACATTATATTAAAGACACAGCAATAGCGTCAGATGCAGCAGATTGATTTTATAACACCAGGTTAAAGTTTCTGGCCCATTTACAGCACTGACATTTAACGAAGAATATACCTGGGTGTTTTGGTGTGTGTGTGACATTGCAAGCAAGGTTTCTGTATTCATAACCAGGATATTGGGGGTCGCGAGTCACTGGCATCGTCATATTAGGGGTCGCAGGCTGAAAAGTTTGGGAACCTCTGCCATAATGCACTGTGTGAGTTCACATGATGAATAAATTTCTGAGTCTGACCACAAGATGGCGTCCACAGCAGAATACTATCGGTGTACGTTTCTGAATACATTTTTAAACTGTTAAAAGATATTTGAATACATGACAGAAATCAAAATACTTTGTTTCATTACTAATATAGAGATGGCTAGGTTTCGCATAAAGTACATCCGGGAGGTTGTTATCACCGAATAAACCCCGACAGGCAAAGCAGAGCACTGTAGTATAAGACTAAAGGGCTTTTATTCTGCAAAAACAACCATCCTGGATGTACTTCACCCCACTTATTACACAGCTACTAGCCACAAACAATAAAAATTAGACACAAAACATTGTTCTGAGCTGTAATAGTTTATTGATTCTCTGTTCCCGGATGAGCCGATGTTGTTTATGGGTTGTTATCTGGGAATAAGGTAACTGAAAATTTTGCAGCTGACCAATCGGAAGCGAGTATTTCAGACAGCCAAAGTAATTAATGTTAAATAACTATCACAGGGTCTGACCAAGAAGTGGTAAATCAATTCCATTCCCTCTTGTAAGTAGACTATATTAGTGGACTAACATAGGGAACAGTGAATGAGGATACAGGACAGGCGAGTAAATGAAGTAAAGAATGTTAGTAACTATTAAATAGATAATAGTATTTGTTCTTAACTGTTCTGTTATTATCTGTCTGTCTGTTTACAGATTCACATCACGCACAAAAACCAGGCTAATATGCTGACGGCTCCGGCTGCTAAATCAGTGGGATGCTTATTCAAGTAAAATGTAATCAAGGTGTAAAAGAACAAACTAATTAAAACAACAATACAGTACGATTCTTTTAAAATCAACTCTTTTTTTTTATGTTATCAGCCTTTTAGATTTGTGTTCAGCTAAGATAGATTATAATGTTGTGATTTGTTTTGCTTTGCTATACAATATGTTTTATTTTAGCATACTAGTGTAGTTTTAATTATTGTCTTTTTTCCTTTCATTTAAATTTGGCTAGTTAGTTAGTTATTTGTTTTATTATTTTCTATTATTATTTAATATTAGTATTTAAGCATTTGTTAGTTTATATTTATTTGTTTGTTAAATAAAATGTATTTTATTTTATTTTAGCCTTTCTACATAACTATTAATGTTACATGTAACTTGTATTACTTTGTGAATTATTTATTTATTTTCACACATTTTGTCAACGTGTTTGATTTATTTGTACATGTACTTCGTTGTTGAATAATTGGTTGTAACACTGACTCAAACTGAAGCATTTCACATTGATCAAACTTCTAACAACTTTTTTTTTAGTTTGTGTCTGTAAAGTTAGAGTTTGCAAGTTCCGAATTGTCTCTATAAAGTAATTAATAAATAATAAAATTAATAAAGTCTGTTATTAATTACTCGCCCACATGCTGTTGCAGTCCCCTGAGTTCATTTTCAGAACGCAAATTAAGAAATATATTAGTGAATATGTTTTTAACTATGATCCCCAAATATTAACGAAAATAGTTTTAATTGTGTTTTATCCTGTGTTGCTTAATACTGTCTCTGTGTGGGAACTTGAATCTTTAAACATATATAAATTGGTGTAAATTGATTTTTGTGGGTTGATTATGTGCAGTAAATAATGTTTATTGTTTAGTGTTTTTTATGTTATGTTTAATTATGATTTATGATGTAAATTGTTTTGTTTAATGTTGGCAATGGTTTTCTCGTTTTGTTCTAGTAAATTTAAATTGATGTAAAGAGAAATAATAAAAAAAATAATTTATATATATATATATATATATATATATATATATATATATATATATATATATATATATATACAGTTGAAGTCAAAATTTAGACCCCCTGTTTGATTTTCCCCCAATTTCTGTTTAACGGAGAGCAGATTTCTTTAACAAATTTCTAATCATAATAGTTTTAAAAACTCATTTCTAATAACTGATTTTTTTTAATCTTTGTCATGATGACAGTAAATAATATTTGAATAGATATTCTTCAAGACATTTCTATACAGCTTAAAGTGACATTTAAAGGCTTAACTAGGTTAATTAGGTTAACTAGGCAGGTTAGGGTAATTAGGCAAGTTATTGTATAACGATGGTAGACTATCAAAAATGTATATAGCTTAAATGGGCTAATAATTTTGACCTTAAAATAGTGTTTAAAAAATTAAAAACTGCTTTTCTTCTAGCCGAAATAAAACAAATAAAACTTTCTCCAGAAGAAAAAATATTATCAGACATACTGTGAACATTTCCTTGCTCTGTTAAACATCATTCGGAAAATATTTCAAAAAGGGAAAAAATCAAAGGGGGGCTTATAATTCTGAGTTATATAGTTTACATTTGTTTTTTTTAATAAATATATTTGTATTGAATTTTTAATGCAATATTTAAAAGAGATAAACCTATCACTTTTCTGGTTAATATTGTCAGTAACACAACTTCAAGAAACATTGGATATTATATTTAGTTTATTTTTTAAAGAATATTACAAATATATTTTACATTTATAAATTTCTAATCATTTCTATAAAATGGTCTCTGCTAGACCAGTTTCTTATATTGAATTTAAGATTTTTGCATTACTCCAGTTAGAAAAGGCATATGGGGAAAGATTGAGAGAATAGCAGAACATAAGAGGAATGTTTTGATAATTTGAGAAGAATTTTAGAAAATATTATAGTCATTTGCTAACAAAACGTGCACAGCATATATGAGTGCACTCCCCACAAATCTCTCAGTTAAATTAATAATTTCTATAGTGTGCTTTACAATATTATATTTGTGCGTATACATTAGATTAGTCAGCACTGAAGCCAAATCTAAATAACTTACAATAATGGTCCAAAAATTAGTAGCCCAAATTTATATTTTAGGGGAAAATAATAAATAAATGAAAAGAAAATAGCAAAAATTAAGAGAAATAAAAAATATATATACAATGTTGTTGAAATGTAGTTTGTGATTTTTTTTTGCAATAATTTAAATCTATTACCTTTTCATTTCTGTGACTAAAATATGATTTTAATAAATGTATCTGTTTGATAAATGTGTTTCGTTCAAATGCACCAATATATATATTACCCATATTCACTGAGACAGATAAAAATGTTCATGTTCAAATTGTGGTGTACTCCTATATGTTTGCGTAGTGTGGTTTTGAATGGAACTGATGAAATACCTGGCAACCACTGTATGTGTGTGAATGTGGATGTTTCCCTGGCATTCACTGTGTACAACTTATGCTGGATAAGTTGGCGTTTCATTGCGCTGTGGCGACCCCTAATTAATGAAAGGACTAAGCCGAAGGAAAATGAATGAATGAATTTTGACAAATGATTAAATGAAAAAGAGAATAGAAGTTCATGACAGCAAATCTGGCTATGACGAAGGTGTAGCTTATGAATATTAACGAGGTCGTGGAGTTCCTTCTTTATCTTTAAGATTGCACGGATTAATGAATATTCATAAGCTAAACATGTAGAATTCTGCTTATTGGCTAGCTTTCCATAAACCGTGGCCTTCTCAGCAAATCAATAACGCCTCTTGGCTAAACGTCACACAGCCTAATTAATATTAACTATGTTTGGTCACGTGACGGCTCTCCCACCTGTCATTCCTGAACTCAAACACAGGCGCCTGTTTGGATCAGAACTGATTACCATATCAGTTACTGCCAGCATGATGTTTTTCAGCATTATTTATTAATAATCTGCCTTTATTACTTTAGATATCATTTTGATTAGACTCAAACTCGACTTTAACAGGAGTTTAGAGGCACCGCGGCTCTTGAAGACTGTTATTTTGTGGTTAACGGTAAATTATGTCTGCTGTGTTGAGGAGCCTGACTCGTTGGGTAAGTCGGTGTTTTTTTAATATATTCTCTTTTTGATGAAGTTGCTGATACGTTTATGAATCGCATGTGTAGACTACTAAAAGCAGGACAGGTCAGGAAAATCACCTGTTTCTTACGCTTGTGCTTAACTGGATTAGACATCATTGTTTCCCCTGACAGTCAGTCAGTCAGCAGCGCGGCGGGTCACTGCAGTTCAGTTCCGCGACTGCGCATGCGCAGGTTTTTGGACAAATCTAATTTCTCTTAGTTTTAGTTTTTTACAAATTAAATGAACACACACAGAAAGATGTTTGTTTTTGTGATTTGTGGGGAAATTACAAAAGTTTTCTATTAGTTTTATACTGTATCTTGTATTGCCCTACTCATACCATATGCCTAAAACCCAACCATCACAGGAAACTACAGTTTTACTTTCTGAAATAAGCAAATTTTATGTGTTTTATAAGCTTTTTGAGAAATGAGGACATCAGCAGTGTCCTCATAATTGTAATATCTGTGTCATACTTATGTTATTATATATATTTCTGTCCTGATATGTCACAAAAACATGTACACACACAGACACAGACACACACAGAGACAGACAAGTTCTTATGGCTTATTTCCACTGAGTGGTACTGTACGGTACGGGTCACCTTTATCAGGTTTGCGTTTTCACTGATGAAAGGGTACCTTTTGGTGGGTGTAGTGTACGACAGAAAGTTTCACTGAAAAGAGGATGTGTGGAATCAGCACTAATATTTATGGCTCTCCTCGTGACCGCCTGTTTATTAGAAGAGCCCTAAATATTAGTGCTGATTCCAAACGTCCTCTTTTCAGTGATTATCAGCTGTTACCATCAGGGAAAAAAAAGACTGAGAATGCCAATGTGTAAAACCAATAGACTGAAGCTTTCGTTTGTTCCTACCTCGATAAAACTGTTGAACTCTACTAATAACACTGCATCTGTAGTACATTAGCACCTGACCGGGTTCCATGTTTTATATATTTCATATTTATATACGGTCTTATCTTGTAAACAATGTATGTTCTTAATTGTTTTGTTTTATTTATTTTACTGTCTGTTTAGAGCAATGATGATATACAAATGAAGTTGATCCTATCCTATTTCTGAAAGGAATGGATGTCAGAAGCGCTTCAATAATCACGCACGCCATTATCATCAACACAAGAAGTTTTTTTTATGTCAAATATAGACACGCAAACGAGAAAGCGAAACCGCTCGCGCTTTAGACAGACTCGTAAAAAACTACTGGGCACAGGGTACAATCTGCTCTTCTTCTTGGCTTTGTGGCTGTTCATCAAGACGACGACAAGGTTTGTTTGGGCTCGATCATGGCTCGTTATTATATGCATATATTATTACAGTGTAATGTCTCGGCTGTGTATTAAAAAAAAAACATGGCAGTTGCTTTTTTTTCATTCTGGCTTGTTGCAGGAGCGAGTGACGTATCTCTGTAAACCAATAGCGTTCAGCTCCGTGTGTGTGACGGTACGTGTTTGGTGTGCTTGGTACCCTTTGCAAGGGGTACCCAAAAGGTGGAAAGGTACGGTTCACTTTTAGGTACCTTTTGACAGTGGAAATGGCCATAAAAGCGATCCGAACTGAACCATACCATACCACTCACATGGAAACGGGCCATCATACACCGTTGGGGACTCTTATAGATATAAGAATGCTTCTACTATGCAAACTGTATATACTATGCCTCTACCCCTAAACCCACCCCTCATAGGAAACAATCTGCATTTTTACATTTTCAAAATACTTTATTCTGTCTGATTTATAAGCATGAACCTCAATTTTGGTCCCCACAGTAACACAATTAAGGCAGTTAAGTACCCACCAGGATATAAAAACGAGTACAAACACACACACACACACACACACACACACACACACACACACATTAATATATACTGTAGTTTATACATGCACTAAAAAAATCCATAAATTAGCAGTTTTCTGTATTTTGTGATTCATCTTTTTATTTTAATTTATTCCCATTTATTTATGCTTTTGAATTGCATTATGGGAGCTTGATCTTTCTTTCAGCAAGTTTTACCCTTGAAAATTAAAAATAAAGTGACTTTTTCTGACATTTTTAACAGTGTAAAATGATCTATTATTGTTAGGGTTGGTGTTGTATGTTACACTACAAAATCTTGTCATAAACTGCAGTACATTTTCCGTTAATTTACAAACTTATTTCTCTAGATTTTATTTCTTATACATTATATTTAAATGACTAAAATGTCTCTAAAAGTCACTTTGGTAAACTGTAGAGTTGAATTCCCTACATTAACATGTCGACAGGGCAAAGATCAACATCCCATAATGCAATTCACCACCAGGAATAAACAGAACACCAAATCACAAAATACAGAAAGTGTTAATCAACAGATATTTTGACAGTGTGTTT